CTCTTTCAACTAGAAAGCCTGTTTTCTCGATTCATATGTGGGGTTTAACGTCCCAAAACCACCATATGATTATGAAAGACGCCGTAGTGGAGGGCTCTGGAGATTTCGACCACCTGGGGTTCTTTAACGTGCACCCAAATCTGAGCACACAAGTCTACATCATTTTCGCCTCCATCGAAAATACAGCCGCCGCAGCCGGGATTCGATCCCGCGACCTGCGGGCCTGCAGCCGAGTACCTTAGCAACCAGACCACCGCGGCGGGGAAAAGCTTGTTGTCTCCACGCCATTGATGAGCAGCCGTCTGCTCACGTTAACCGATTAGTACCCTATGCAGGAAGACGTACTGCTCAGTCATTTAGAACGTTTGGAGAACACCGAACATGGTTAGGAGAAGGTGTTCATAATTTACAGTACGAAGTGGCCTCCTATGGGAGCAGCATAAATCTGTGTGTTTAGAAAAAATGGCAGCATATCCACGGAGTGAATGATGGAGAGTGGGCCGAAGCATCCGTTCGTCCATTCGTTCTTGCTTCCGTCCGTCCATGCGTCCATTTGCCCATCTGTGCGTGCGTCTGTTCGTGCGTCCACACGTCCTTCTGTGCGTCCGTCCCTGCGTTCGTCCATGGATCCGCCCCTGCGTCCGTTCATGCGTCCATCCGTTCGTGCAGCCATCCGTGAGTCCGTCCATGCATCCGTCTGTGTGTCCGTTCGTTCATATATTCAACACTCCAAGTACCACCATCTCGCATCTTTTATCATATATTCCTCATATAGAAGCACCGCCATTCAGCGGACATTCCAAGGACTAAACGAGAGGTGGCACACGCACACTTTCTTACGGCTCGCGCTTCGTGTCTACTTCCCACCTTTCACCCCCTCGAGTTCATGGTATATACTAGTTCACTGTATTCATGGCACTGCGGCCCAACGCTTACTAAACTTTTCTAAAACCAAGGAGGTTACGCCCAGCGAGTATAATGTAGCAACCCTTTCTTGTCAGATAGTGCTCAATGTACATGCCGATGGCTGTTAATGGGGAATGAAAGACAGGAGAATTCGGCTTTTAGTTAACGCGCATGCTGCGAATTTTTTATCGTTGAAGAACGCACAGGAGAAATCTTCCACACCATCTTGCAGGTCAAAACATAAGGCATGTTACGCACTACTACGAGAGACGAACGGGCGCCGCTTTAAGGATCTTTGCTCCTAAAACTCTGTTGACGTAGGTCAAGAGTATTTGAGAATGTCTCATGCTCACGTCCATCGGCGCCAGGTGGCTGTCGTGCCCAACGAAGCTATTCAGGGTGATCTCGGCCGATAGAGCTTTGAAGATCGGGAGGCGGTCAGCAATATTGCCTTCCGCGACAACTAGCTCTGCATGCCCCGAAAGAGATGGGCGCGGCGTGTTTTTGATTACCTGCCTGCAACATGCATGTGTACTCGGTGGGTGAGCCGCTTCTATCGCATCGAGAGCAAGTTCGGCCTCTTTCGCACCCCTCTCAGCGCCAACTCGTCCACTGAGTGGGCAAAACAGGCACGGAAACGAGTGCGTGAAAATTCCTAGTTCCGGTTACTTAATTGTTTCGTTTTTTAATTATTTTTGCAAGTCTCCAGTCAGGAGGCATCCAACTTTTTCTAAGTGAGTGATGAACAACCCCAAGAATGTCTTCAGGATAGATGTCGAATAACATTTTAAAGATTCCTAAAGTGACACCATCTGGTGCTGGAGCTGCGTTTGGCAGAAGACGAACGACATGCGCGTGTTTCTTACTTTATACTTATTTCAGCAAAATCATTCCCGTATGAAGTTTTTACCACCTCTATTTGTATTTGTGATGTAAATATCTTCTCTAATACTAATGCAATTTCTGCTAATATATCTTCCAATTCTTTTAGGAAAAATAGCTGCGTCAATACTTACGGGTGCTGCTATAGCTTTACGATTATGGAGAAATCTGAAGAGAGCTTTCTTATTACTACTCTTATATTACTATAACGTTTTTCTTCATAATCAATTTTCACTAATGATACTTTTCTCTTAAACGTAGCTTTATCATACAAATCATTTTTCCAATTAGTAGGACATTGGTTGGCAGCATATCCTCGAAGTGAATGATGGAGAGTGGGGTGAAGCATCCGTCCGTTCATTCGTTATTGCTTCCATCCGTCCATGCGTCCGTCTGTGTGACCGTTCATGCGTCCGTCCACCCGTCCGTGCGTGCGTCTGTTCGTGCGTCCGTCCCTGCGTTCGTCCATGCATCCGCCCCTGTGTCCGTCCATGCGTCCATCCGTTCGTGCAGTCATCCTTGCGTCCGTCCATGCATCTGTCTGTGCGTCCGTTCGTCCATCTATTCAACACTCCAAGTACCACCATCTCGCATCTTTTATCATATATTCCTCATATAGAAGCACCGCCATCCAGTGGACATTCCAAGGACTAAACAAGAGGTGGCGCACGCACACTCTCTTACAGCTCGCGCTTCGTGTCTACTTCCCACCTTTCACCACCTCGAGTTCATGGTATATACTAGTTCTCTGTATTCATGACACTGCGGCCCAACGCTCGATAAACCTTTCTAAAACCAAGGGGGTTACGCCCAGCGAGTATAATGTAGCAACCCTTTCTTGTCAGATAGTGCTCAATGTACATGCCGATGGCTGCTAATGGAAAATGGGAGACAGGAGAATTCGGCGTTTAGTTAACGCGCACGCTGCGAATTTTTTATCGTTCAACAACGCACAAGAGAAATATACCACACCACCTTGCAGGTCAAAACGTAAGACACGTTACGCACTACTACGAGAGACGAATGGGTGCCGCTTTAAGAATCTTAGCCTATAAAACTCTGTTGACGTAGGTCAAGAGTATTTGAGAATGTCTCATGCTCACGTCCATCGGTGCCAGGTGGCTGTCGTGGCCAACGAAGCTATTCAGGGTGATTTCGGCCGATAGAGCTTTGAAGCTCTGGAGGCGGTCAGCAATATTGCCTTCCGCGACAACTAGCTCTGCATGCCCCGAAAGAGATGGGCGTGGCGTGTTTTTGATTACCTGTCTGCAACATGACTTTGTACTCGGTGGGCGAGGCGCTTCTACCGCATCGAGAGCAAGTTCGGCCTCTTTCGCACCCTTCTCAGCGCCAACTCATCCACCGAGTGGGCAAAACGTACACGGGAACGAGTGCGTAAAGAATTCCTAGTTCCGGTTATTTTATTTTTTAGTTTTTTAATTATTTTTGCAAGTCTCCAATCAGGAGGCATCCAACTTTTTCCAAAAGAGTGATTAACAACCCCAAGAAGGTCTTCAGGATAGATGTCCAATAACATTTTTAAGATTCCTAAAGTGACACCATCTGGTCCTGGAGCTGCATTTGGGAGAAGACGAACAACATGCGCATGTTCCTTACTTCATACTTACTTCAGCAAAATCATTCCCGTATGAAGTTTTTACCACCTTTCTTTGTATTTGTGATGTAAATATATTCTCTAATACTAATGGAATTTCAGCTAATATATCTTCCATTTTTTTAGGGAAAAATAGCTGCGTCAATACTTACGGTGCTGCAAAAGCTTTACGATTACGGAGAAATCTGAAGAGAGCTTTCTTATTACTACTCTTAGATTACTATAACGTTTTTATTCATAATAAACTTTCGCTAATGATACTTTTCTCTTAAACGTAGCTTTATCATACAAATAATTTTTCCAATTAGTAGGACATTAGTTGGCAAGGAGTTTTTTCCATGCAGCTTTCCGGCGTCTATAATCTACAGGGCATTCCGAATTCCACCAGGCTGATAGAGTTTCCATCCGTGAAAGATATAGTGAACTGTTTTTTTTCAAATCCTACACTTTAAAGTTGAACAAAAGCCCATACTTTCCATACTGGACAGGGAAGATAATGTTGACTGTAAATTTTTTTCTAATTTAAAGTAGTCCACAACATTTGCACCTGGTGGACTACCATCACTAATGGAATGATAACTTCTTACTTTATACTTGTAATTTCATTTACGACATCCCTCTGCTCATTGTCGTTCCGTCTACTTAAAAAAAGAGCAACTACCAGAAACAAGCTTGATCCCGATTATGTGTTTTAATGAATGTGGCGTTTCGCTGCCGCACTCAAAGTCGCAAGCACAATGCACGCCTCACTTATACTGAAAATATAAACGAACGCATCTTAAGAAAGTCGATTTGAAGTGTTGTCGCACTCGAGAAAGAATTCACCACCTTCCAAGTCTCGCAATATTGCAAGTCCGTACAAGCAAATACAACCATATCTATATGTGCACCTTCAGTCAGACAATGCGCTTGAGCACCGGCAGTATATGGGGAATACTATCAGTCAAGCATACAAGGCCTTTGCAAGTACAAATAATCGCAATGATGCCCGTCAGAATCAATACCGCTTATAAATACGTTTTAGTGGGGGTGGGCTTCTCGCTCGGCGAAGTGGTGGCATCTTCTCTCACCGCGCCCCACTCTGCCCCATGTTTGTGAAACGTTTAGTGGTTTTAAGGTAAATCATGCAATTACTCATTGCCTTTTAGTGATAATGTCATTATTTTAGACCCAGACTATCCACTTTAATTCGGTTTTGAGCATTGCTAGCCCTGTTATGGGCTGTATAGAGCGCTTTACTGTCAGCATGATGATGCCCTATAAGCTGAATGGACGACAAGGTGGACCCTCATTGTGCTTCGCAGCCTAAGGGAACACTCGACCATGTCCCTGGGCGGATGTTCATAGTCAAGATTGATTGATTGATTTGTGGGGTTTAACGTCCCAAAACCAGCATATGATTATAAGAGACGTCGTAGTGAAGGGCTCCGGAGATTTTGACCACCTAGGGATCTTTAACGTGCACCCAAATCTGAGCACACGGGCCTACAACAATTCCGCCCCCATCGAAAATGCAGCCGCCGCAGCCGGGATTCAATCCCGCGACCTGCGGGTCAGCAGCCGAGTACCTTAGCCACTAGACCACCACGGCGGGGCGTTCATAGTCAAGATGCGATATGTATTTCATATTGATTCCAATCGACGTATACAATCGGTATAATTCTCAGTTATAGTTGGGATAGTCCGGTCAAAGAGGGTACAGCCAGCGCCACCCTCTCCAAGACTTCTTAGTTCGTAGAACGGCTGTTGCGACGACGTCCTCTCCTTCCATGCCAATCTGGGGGCAGGAATCATTCAACCTGCTCCCGATCAGATAGTGAATGGCCCAGCCGAAGTTCCTGCGCCCCAGGTGGCGGTAGGCGTAGTCGACCTGTAAGACGAACCCAGAAACTTCTTAACGCTTTGCGTTAAATAGCTGCAATTGCAGTCGCTTATGTAGCTTATGTTGTTGGGCATATTTACGTATGCTCTTGAGAGGTGTCGAGCCAGCGAATGGTCGACAGTTATTATTAGTGCCTGCAAATCCAGTTCTTGAATTGTATCTTATTTTATGTTCTTGGTCCGCAAATGCCTTTGTGTATCCTTGTTCGACCCCCCCCCCCCCCCTATGTAATACCCCGTCGGGGGCCTTTAAGAGAAAATAAATAATGATGATGATGACTATGATTATTATTATTATTATTATTATTATTATTATGATTATGAGGCGCTAGCGGACGGGAAAGTGGGGTGCCGGGAGGAGATAGAGCGAATGGCGAGAGGAGTGGCGAAGCACTGCACCTACTCTCTCCTACACTTTCTCGCACCACATGTCCAGTTGCTAGGGGCGAAGATAAGCGTGCACACCACAGCTGTTGCTATGGGAGAGGGTGTGAGAACGGAGTGAACACCTGCCGGCGCGTGGACACCGCCGTGTACGCCGTGGACAACGCTGGATGCCTGACATAGCCCGACTAAGAAATGCATTCGCATTTAAAAATGTATGGTTCCAGTGAGAATCTAACCCAGGTCTCCTCTTTGACAAACAGGTGTTCTACCACGGAACCACGCCAGTTCTTGAAACGCTAGTACAGTGCAATTCCGGGGGATTTGTCTTATTAACGCATTTAATACTGTGGCGGAAGCGTGGATTCGCACCAGGCGTCAAAACAAGCGCATTGTGCCCCGAAACGGTGGTTTAAAGCTGCCCGCTCATCGTAATATGCGCAGCTGTGTAGGTGCACGTGGTGCCCCACGGACGTGTCGTGGTTACTTCACCAATTCGCAAAAGGAATAACTACGGCGTAGTAAGCATTTCTGCATAGAGTTTCCCATAATACTTACTAGAGGGAACTCTGGCGCTAGTGTCTATGGGAGTTGCAACACATGGCGCTTCAACGAGCATGGGAATGATGGGTAGTACACACATTTGACTAACTTTCGTACTTCTGGCCTGCTTCTGGCTCCGTGTGTGTTCGTGTGGCTTGGTGCTGTTTTTCACGAAAACATAAATTAGCAAATGTTCACCGTTTGCACTTCACAACCTTATTCTTTTAAGCTTACTATTCTGAATCAAGTCCCCAAGTTCAAAAGAGTTCATTCTTTCTTTTAAAACAAAACCGTAACCAGTAATAAACGAAGCCGCAAGTACGATTCGCTGCCCGCAAGTACGAAGACTAGGCAAATGTGTGTACTACCCATCATTCTCATGGTCGCTGAGCGATCGCAGTGCCAGAGTGCCCTCTAGTTAATTTTGGGAAACTCTATGCATTTCTGAACTCCACGTGCAGTAGCTGTATTAAGAAAGTTCGAAACTAGGGTTGCCGGCAAAAATATTACATTCCCTGCGGCATGGTTGATGGTGATATGCATGGGACCCGAATACGTCTCCGCATTCTACTCTTGAAAGCAAAGCTTAAGCGTCGTTGAGATTTTGATCGAAAGGAGAAACGTTTTGGATGGCTAGTTTGAAGGTCCATTTAGTACGTTGTTCCCCTGGCCTGACCGAGCCGTTCTGTCCAATTGGTTCCTTATTGAGAAACAAATGTATCCGCGATGAAGCTAACAACGGCTACAGTGTGTGAATCATGTGACACCCGGTGCCACTGTGCAGGAACGTACGACAGCGGCCTGCGTGTGTGTTCTAAAAGGGGCGCTGGCGAAAACTTTGTGGTGATGTATGCAACGCGCCATTGCATTTGCTATGATGAATATTATTTTAAAATTGACTTTTGAGTAAGATGGCAGATCTGTATAGGAAGGGAAATAGTGTCGCGGTTGATACCACACCCGACCTTACCCTGACGGGGAGCGGCACTAGTGCCACGTGGTGCAACACAAACGAGGATCTAGGCAGTGGTCACATGATCATAGAAATAGTGGTAGAGAGAGGCCCGGCAACACCTCGGAAACGAAGGGTAGAGGTCGTAAATTGGGACTCTTTCAGGGACCTCAGGGGCGACCCGACTCCCATTTCCGACTTTACCGAGTGGTGCGATGGGGTGTTACGTACTGTTAAGGAAGCCACTGAAGTGGTGGAAACCGAGGAGGACAACGAAGTGGTAGACACGAGATTAGTAAATCTTTGGAAGAAAAAGAAAGCTTTGGAAAACCGACTCAAACAGAGGAGACGGGATCAGAGTATCAGGAAACAAATAGCGGCTTTAAACAGGCAAATTGAAGAGCACGCCATCGCGCTCACGAAGCAAAGGTGGGGGAACGTATGTCAGGAGATGGATAGAAATATAAGTACGTCCGGGACGTGGCGACTTCTTCGTCACCTTTTAGATCCGGAGAGCACGAAGACAGCGTCTAAACAACAATTGGAACGGATGGCGCACCAATTTGAAGGCACTAGGAAGGAACTCTTAGAAGAAGTTCGGAGCAGATACATTAATCCCGCCGGATCCGAACCTCTCCCAGATTATGGAGGGCGGGAAAACGCAGCCTTAGACGCCCCTATCTCCCTGGCTGAGGTGCGAGCAGAGATTAATCGGCTAAGGACTAGATCAGCGGCAGGGCCGGACAGAGTGACTAACAAAATGCTCCGTAATTTAGATGATAGGTCCATCGCTAACCTAGCAACGTACATGCAGGAGTGTTGGGAAAAAGGGACGATACCGCGGGAATGGAAACTCGCAAATGTAATTTTCATTCTTAAACCGGGTAAAAAACTCGGTTTCGAGAATCTTAGGCTGATATCGTTAACGTCTTGCGTAGGTAAGCTCATGGAGCATGTCGTTCAGACGCGGCTCAATAGGTACATGGAAGACAATGGTATGTATCCGGACACCATGATCGGTTTTCGACCCCGTCTATCAGCGTGCGACGTGATGGTACAGCTCAAGGACCAAATTATAGACAAGCCAACGCGAGACACAAAAGTTATCGTGGGTTTAGATGTGGCAAAAGCATTTGACAACGTGAGGCATGTATCAATCTTGGAGAATCTGAGCTCCCTGAACGTCGGAAAGCGACTTTATGACTACGTCAAGGACTTCCTTTCGAACAGGACAGCCACTTTAAAAATCGGGGAAGAATCCATCGAGGACATTAAATTGGGCAACAGGGGGACACCTCAGGGCTCGGTGCTATCACCCACCCTTTTCAACATTGTGATGTTGAAACTGCCTGAACAGTTAAAGGATATTGAGAATTTATATCACACCATTTACGTGGATGACATAACATTATGGATGAACAAGGGCAGTGACGGCCAAATTGAAGGCTCTCAGCAAATCACCATTGATAAAATCGTAGAGTACCTGGAGCCCAAAGGACTTAAATGCTCGGCCGAAAAGTCGGAAGCACTCTTCCTCATGCCCGCCGGAAAACGGCGGCTCCACAACAGGCCTGAAGTGGGCATCTACTTGTATGTTAACGGCGCAGAGATCCCCGCGGTCGACAGTATCCGTGTCCTTGGACTAAGGATTCAGGCGAACCGTAAGAATTCTGAAACTCTTGCTAGGTTAGAAGCCAGTTCTAATCAGACATGTCGTCTCATCAGACAAATAGCAAACAGGCATGCTGGGATGAAGGAGGTGAACCTTCTTAGATTAGTGCAGACCTTCATAATAAGTAGGATAGTGTACGTGGCAGCTTATTTAAAATTAAACCAAGCGGAGCGGGGCAAACTCGACACCATTATCAGGAAAAGTGTGAAAGTCGCGCTCGGACTTCCCCCAAACACGTCAACTGACAGACTTATGAAGTTGGGGGTATCTAACACACTCAATGAGCTAATTGAGGCTACTGTGACTGCACAACATCAAAGACTACTCGGATCTAAAACGGGGAGGGCAATATTAAAGAGATTGGGCTATGAGCCCACGCGTGAGCAAGCGCGTTCAAAAGACATACCGATACAGATCAGGGACAGGATAAAGATACCTCCGCTACCCAGAAATATGAACCCTAACTTTCACGAAGGCAGGCGTAAAGCCAGGGTAGAGGCATTACAATCTAGGTACACTGGTCGACAGGACGTCGCGTATACAGACGCTGCGGAATATGAAAGAAAAGCGGCACACACGGCAGTGGCGGTCAGGGGAGATGGTGGCCTAATTGCGTGCTGCACAGTACTTGGTGTCGAGACTGTAGAGGCCGAGGAAGTGGCCATAGCTTTGGCCATCAGCCAAAAGGGGATCAGGGTGGTCATCAGCGACTCCAAAAACGCTGTGAGAAATTACGAATCGGGAAGGGTGACGGAGACTGCCGTCCGTATATTAAACATGGTAGGAGTACCCAAAGAGCAGATTCTGCTTGTCTGGGCTCCAGCTCACCAAGGACTTAGAGGGAACGAGGAGGCTCATTCCGTCGCCCGAGGTCTCACCTACCGGACGACCCCTGGAACCTCCCAAGTTACCGAATAAAGAAGCGAGTATATGCGCACATACCATGAAATCGTCGCACACTACAGGCTGAATCGGCAAGTATACCCGAGAGCGGACAACTCACTAAGTAAGAGAAACGAGGTTTTGTGGCGAAAGTTACAGACCGAGGTTTTTCCAAACCCCGCACTTTACAGCAAGTGGCACTCCGCAGTTTTCCAGTCCCAGTGTAAATTTTGTGATGAGGTAGCGAATTTGGTCCACATGGTGTGGACATGTCCAAGTCAAAACGATGGTTTTAACACTGTAGAATCCTGGGAGGCCCTGCTCTGCAGCCCAGACCCCAACGTCCAGCGCGACATCATCAGTCAAGCCCTTGCTGCTGCCACGTCCCAAGGGATTCCGGCCGACAGCTAGGGGCAATGGGCCATGCCTGAGCAATTGACTGACCTTTTAATGAAGTTCTCTCTCTCTCTCTCTCTCACTAAAACAAACAAACAAACAAATTGTTAAGGCGTTGATTAGCCGGCAACGAGCGAGAATATATAATGGCGACAGTCACAGCCAAGCACGGGCTCTCAGCGCGAGCGGCGTCCTTGTTGGGTAGCCCCACTAGAAGGTACTCAAAAGTTCGACCCATTTCATAGTTCGAAGGCTTCGCTACAATTACCCCGGGGTCGAAGAGGGAGCCACCTGGCGACCTAACAGCTTGTTATTATGAGCGGGTCATAATAAGCCTTCAGGCGCTCCACGTTGACGATGTCTCGCCCACGGCGGCGCATGTCTGAAGATTGTTCAACGGGTTCGATCAGATAGATGACGGGTGAGGTGCGCTCGATGACACGGTAGGGGCCTTCGTATTTGGGACGTAGTTTGGAAGAGAGGCCAGCGGCAGAGGTCGGGATCGAGAGCCATACAAGCGCACCAGGAAGGAACGTGGGCTCAGAAGTGGTGGAGCCATCACGGATACTCTTCTGCCGCTCTTGCTCTTGCGTCGTAAAAGTCTTGGCAAGCTCGCGACACTCTTCAGCAAGCCTGGCTGTCTCGGAAATAGGTGTACACTCAGATGGATCCGGCGTGTACGGGAGTATCGTGTCCATGGTGTGCGACGGGTGCCTTCCGTACAGCAAGTAGAAAGGTGAAAAACCAGTCGTGCTCTGAGGGGCGGTGTTGTAGGCGTAGGTGACGAAGGGCAGTATATTATCCCAATTAGTGTGGTTGGCAGCGACGTACATAGAAAGCATGTCGCCGAGGGTGCGGTTAAAGCGTTCGGTGAGGCCATTCGTCTGTGGGTGGTAAGCAGTAGTTTTGCGGTGGACAGAATGGCACTCCGTCAGAATGGCTTCGACGACTTCCGACAAGAAGACACGGCCTCGATCGCTGAGAAGCTCTTGGGGTGGTCCGTGGCGCAGTACAAATCGATGCAGCAGGAAGCACGCAACATCGCGCGCAGCAGCCGCAGGGAGAGCGGCGGTTTCGGCGTATCGCGTTAAATGGTCAACGGCAACGATGGCCCAGCGGTTACCAGCCGACGTCAGAGGAAGTGGTCCATACAAATCTATACCTACGCGCCCAAAGGGACGGTCAGGGCATGGTAACGGTTGTAGACTGGCGTGCGACATGTGGGCTGACGGTTTACGGCGTTGGCAAGTGAGGCAAGAGCGAACGAACTGCTGCACATAGCGGTACATCCCGCGCCCAGCACCTCCACCCAGCACCTCCACCAAATTTTTAAGGCGTTTATTAGCCGGCAACGAGCGAGAATATATAATGGCGACAGTCACAGCCAAGCACGGGCTCTCAGCGCGAGCGGCGTCCTTGTTGGGTAGCCCCACTAGAAGGTACTCAAGAGTTCGACCCATTTCATAGTTCGGAGGCTTCGCTACAAAACAAACAAACAAACAAACAAACAAACAAACAAACAAACAACAAACAAAAACTGTGCACAGTGTGAAATTAGATGGTTAGGAATTTTATGGCTATTCTAAGTGTTGTATAGTGGTTTCAGTTGTTCCAATACTTGTATTGCGGGGCACTGCTCTGCTGTATATATTGAGGCGTCCTTGTGATTGAAGGAGTTCCGTGAGTGTCAGCCAGGGTCTCGGCTCCTGCTCTGCTCCTCCTCGGCCCGCGCTCCGGGCGCCAAGTTTCGTGTTCTCCGTTCGTCGCGTCTATCGACCAATACTACATACACTGACCCCCTGGCGTGCATATAGCTATATAATAGAAGAATGTGGCAGCGACTGCTGTAAAATATACTTATCCCGTTTTATTACAGCCTGTTAGCAGGAATAATCAATTACGCTTGGAATAAAAAGATATTAATAAACCAAAACACGTTATTTGTGACTAATTGTTGGTCCTGAAGCAGTCTAGACGTGGGACAGTCGACCAGCGCTAAACACCCATAAAAATATTGTTACGAGAAGGAGACAGATTCGGAAGAGTAGGCACAGATATATTTGCAGCTGGTTAAGCAAACAGCGCCAGCCATACAGATCTTTGTCTTTTCCATCTCCATGCCACTGGTACGTAGCAATATTAAAAAAAATCTATTGTGCGGGGTCATAGCAGTGCCCAATTAACGACGGCATGAAGAGGCACACGAGGTCAAGTGCTACATTGTTTTGTAAAAAAAGTATAGCTTTATGGGGAAAACAACATTATATTATGTTATTCCATTGCACCGCTAGAACCATAATCATTCTTTTTCAACATCACTGGAATGCACTGCTAGATTGTTTTTTTCTTGCTTCATGTTGTTTCAATTTTTTTTCTGTAGTGTTCTTCGTAAATTTTTATATGTAACACCTTGTAACAGCACTGTATATAATTTTAACAATTAAACAAAATCCGATAGTTTAAAGTAGTGGCTGTTTTTATGGGCATTTTTTACTTCAGGTATTCGCCTGAGTTCCCACTGCTATTACCTTATTAAATTAGGAAGTTTATGTGGCAGGTGGTCTCACTTAGAAGACAGAAACTGCATTTATTAGGGACTCCGAGAAGCCGCTACAAGGACGCTGCCATTACCTTTGACTTAATGGTGTCCCCTGTTTCGTAGGTGGCCAGAGTCACTCCGTTTTCCGTGTAGACGTGGGCAATGGCTACGTTGGCTTCCGGTGCTATGCCTGGATTCAAGACGTTGGTTTCACCGCAGACCTGTTATGTACCAGAAAGTAGCACTGAAAATGATTATGGGGTATTGTAAATGTCTCATAATGAGAAATGTGTTCAACAGAGTACAGGGCGCTGAGTACAAAGCGCAACAAAAAATAGTGACGAGGAAAACTGCGCACTCCAATGACTATAATGTTGAAGTGAGAGGGATAGAAATCTTCTGCCAAAGAAAAAGTTACAACAAGTGGTCTTCTTCGAAGCAACAACACAGGAACACTTGTATGAACACCTGGGACGATGCCGAGACCACATGTCAAAACATTGGCTCTAGGAGCACCCCTTGTTTCTAATATTTTTCATAGTTACTATAACATGTGCTGAGGCAACGGGGCGGCTTTATGCTCTTCCGTAGTAGAGCACCAAGTACTCTAAATGTTAACCACTTTTTCGAAACACACTCACGTTCGAATAAGGCACAGCTTCTCGGTCGACGCATTGGCTTCCGTACATCGCCGCATTGTCCCAGCCGGAATCCATTACGAAACGGGACACTATCGCACTCAGCGACAACAGAACGGTCACGTATTTGGGCGTCTCCGCCGCGTTCACCAACTCCATGGTCGTATCCTGCATTATAATTGCGACATTAGCGACAATCTCAATCATGCCAGCGACACCATGTGTTTGAGTTTCTGTCAAAGTATTCACCGCATACACTTATGCAGTAAATAGTCGGGACGGGGAAAGATAGCTGTATACATATAGCAGCTTGACATGCCCTACATCCTTATGCTCTATGGGGCACACAAGACAGCAAAAAAAAAAAAAAAACATTGCAAGAACGTTATAAACAAACAATGCACATGTCGTACGTGGAGGCAAAGTAATGGAACTGACTTTTTAAATTCAAGACAACATCGTTCCAATTCAGCAGAACAGAAGCTTTTATAGTCACTCGATACATCATATGGAAGAAACCGTTGTAATCTCCGTATGAGCTACCACGGCACATACTTTCTCATCGATACAAGATGCTCACGCGTGATTTTCGATACCTTGATAAGTTTATGTGAGATGCGTATTACATATCACGAGGAAAAGCATCCCTCAAAGATTGCATTTGTAGCCGCAAATATGCTGCGAGGTCCGATCAAATAGCTTGCACAACACGTGCAATAAACAAGGAAAAGTTCAGTGACGCTAAGCATACTGCCTAATGTGAATTATGTGCGCAGCTTCGTGTTGGAGTAACGCCCACTGTGTTTGCGCTATTGGCTGTTCGCAGTTATCGCAAGGCAACACTCGTTTCTTATTGCCACCGAAAGTGCCAGCACTTGAGTGCTTTGTAAAACACCCTATGCATTGCAGGCGTGAAGTATATCGCATGAATAATTACAGTCCCTAAAAAGAAAAGTGTACAACCATGGTTGCAACTGACAGAATGGAGTGATATTCTGCCAGTGTATTATGACACCGTGATGCAGTGACATTCTGTCAATGAACTGGAAATGTACTGTGCACTGCACACTGCCAGTTCTAACATACGAGTCTCAAGATTGGAGAATAAGAAAGAAAGTTGAGAAAAAGTTATGGACCGTGAAGCGTGCAGTGGAACAGAACTTCCCTGTGGTGTAGTGGATACGGTGCTAGGCTTCTGACTGATTGATTGATATGTGTGGTTTAACGTCCCAAAACAACCATATGATTATGAGAGAAGCCGTAGTGGAGGGCTCCGGAAATTTCGACCACCTGGGGTTCTTGAACGTGCACCCAAATCTGAGCACACGGGCCTACAATATTTCCGCCTCCATCGGAAATGCAGCCGCCGCAGCCGCGATTCGATCCCGCGACCTGCGGTTCAGCAGCCGAGTACCTTAGTCACTAGACCACCACGGCGGGGCTAGGCTTCTGAGCAGAAGGGCGCGGGTTCGACACCGACAGTGACGGTCGTATTGCGATGGAGGTGAAATGCCTGAGGCCCGTACACATTGGTTTAGCAGTGGATTAAAGAGCCCCAGGTAGCTGTAATGTCCGCGGCGATCTAATACGGCGTCTGTCGTAATCATATCGCGGATTTGGCGTGTAAAAAAAAAAAAACTCCGATAATCTTACTGAAGGCTGGTACATTTTCTGAACAAAGGACATGCTTGAGCGTACAAGTGTTAATAGTATATTAACCAAGGAGAGGCTGCCGAAAGCTCACATTTATACTCCTCACTCTGTCTTCAAGTTAGGATCCACATGTAATTGCTGCGTTATTGTTATGGGCTCTCACCATGCGAAACATTTGTTATTGACTGTTTTGGATGATATTCCCGGAAATAGGTTGAGAATGTGCGCCTTTCAAAGAATTTTAAATTCGCGACGCTTTCTGTAGAAAACTTTCCTTAGTTTCAGTGAATGAATCTGTTGTTTCCAGCCTTCCACACGCACCTATATTCCCTAGCGTCGGGTTGACAACTGATGCCCCTCTCCCCCGCTCATTACAAGCAATACTCGACTCGCTTCCCACGGCAGTTCGCGAACCACCTCCATGTAGAAATAAACACGTTTTATTGTGATAGCGATTATATGGACACTCTCGGTTGGATTTTGCCGCTGGCGTTGGCGTCTACGTCACTCATGGTATATGTATACGTATCAATATATATGAAAACGCAAGAAAGAGAACTAACCCAGGGAAAGACTCCAGCACGCGGAATCGAACGTCGGACCTCTGAATTGTGAGCGCGAGGCGTTAGCCACTGAGCCACAAAGGAGCACCTCCTTGAACGTTCAAATGGAATGCTACTTATATCTACTACTTACCGTTGGTGATGCGCATCTCGGGGGGAGGGGGGCGAATATCGTGTTTTCAGCATTACCAGCAAGATGGCGCAATGAGCGCGCGTCGCCAAATCGTAACGACGCGAGCGTTTGCCTATCTAGTGGTGGGGACAATTGCGCGCCTTGGCTGGCCTTGGGCTTTTACCAGAACAATTCTGTTGTAGTTGCCAGGCGTACAGAGGTCACTAAAATCGTTGCACAGTCTCCGTTTGCGAAAAGACGCCAGGCCCGCGCGGAAGGCGAAAGCTAGAAGAGTGAAAGCTAGAAGAGCGGCCTTTCAGAGCCTTTGAAAAGACTCATTGCGTAACTACTGCAGGCACACTTGCATGATACCCACTAGAGAATAATTAATTTTTTTGGGGAAGGCCGGCATTCACTACGCTATTTTTCATCATTCTTCTGAGAAGTGTGGTATCTGCTAAACACTTGCAAGAAATTTTGTGCCAATTGTTCATGCAGTGGCTGACGACGATGAGGAATTATGGCTGAAGTGGGTATGCGCCACAGTTAACAGGGTAACAAGAACAAGCTTTTATAATGGGTTGAAGCATTGGACGACCCACACGTTACGCTATTCGCATTGTGCGACGACAGGTCGTTCTTTCACTTGTCTAAACCGCTTTAAAATCGTAATAACGAGTTTGCTTTCCCGAAATCAAGCCTGCCTAAGGCAAGTTTGCAACAAGTTCCAAGCACCGGGGTCGCTCAGTGGTATAACAATGGGCAGGCACCCAGTGAACCAGGGTTCAAGCCCCCCTGTGTCATTGGTTCTTAAGCTTTTTTTTTTAAAAAAATTCGCGCGATGTGGTTACGGACACCAGAGGCGGTGGCGGACAATTGCGCGTGACCCGAGTTGTGATCTCATAACAGCTTTCGCCGTAAAAGGGCGTGCTCTTCAGATACAGCAAAGTAACAACTGAGACGCTTATTTGCGTTCATCTGCCCCTGTGAGTACGTTTTGTACGTCATTTGTGCGCGAGAAACGCGGGAACGTTTCGATCTGCTCGCGCTTTGGCGCGTGACCTTCTAATTTGTTGCTATTGCGTTCTTTGCTTCGCTTTTGCAGCAAATCTGTGACTTTTGTTTTTACCCGTCCAGACAGATATGCTTTTTGGATCCCCGCACCCCGCCCGTACGTTCTTGGGTGAGAGACAGCTCCGGACATAGCAGAAACACGTGCGTTTCTGTTACATAAATCACGTGCGTTAATCCCACGCAATGTGCGGGTGCCCGTACATATATTCGCGCATAGTTGAGTAATGCGTCTAAATGCCTTATGCCAAAAAGTTCGTTTTTACTTTCAGCCTCGAGAAACAGCAGTTGGAAACGACGCCCACACCAGCGTGGTGGTCACACTGCCCAACGCGGTGCTCGAAAGCACGTTGAGAATGGCACGACTCCAAGCTGCTGTTTCTTTTAAATTGCCATCGATCTGAACGATTATGTGGTGGGCGACTTGTACATTTGCCTTACGTGCGGTTGTCGCAGTATTCACCTTTATCAGTGCGGTATTTCGTCACTATTACATGGTTGGCCAGCCTTCGTCTAGTGACACTGCTAAAAGCTGGCCCACCAAACTTTGTCAGTGTGACTTGACTTCGTCAATTAAAGGAGTCTGCATGGCATTATCACGTGAACTTAGTGTTCAGATGTTCGGACGAAAGCATAAGCAAGAAATAATACGCATAAAAGACAGTAATACATCAAAGAATAGTGTACAATAGGTAGCGCTTCATATGTGTAGCCACGTGGGCATCCTCCGATGTTTCAACAGCGAAGCAGTTCTTATTCGACGGTTCCACTTTGGTCGGCGTAGCACTGGTCACGAGGTACGGCAGGGTGGCGAGAGTGGGACTCGTTAGGAGAGGAAGGGCCATGCCGCGTCAGGATAGGCGAGTGCGAGGCTTGGTAGAAAGGGTGAATCAATGAGAGGCCCACAAATATTGGCGAGGGTGAGCCTGACGAAGCGGGCACCAAATTCGCTATTTAGACAGTGTTGGCGAAGTGCAGGTGGTCGCGCTTTTTATGAGCTTACCATGGCGGGGAGGGGCACGTGCAAGTTGTTGCTCAGTATGGTCGGCCCGGACACAACGCACTGCGTAGTCGGCCAGTGCCAGATGTGGGTGTACAAGACGAGCAGGTTCACCGGCTGGGACCTGAAATCACGCCGGACCCTAATAACCATCGTTATAATCAGAACTATCGTGATCAGTCAAGGCTGCTCTTAACTACAGCTCTAGCTATAGAATTGTCGGGAGCCCATTCTTTGTTTCCTGAGCAAGCATCTCTTTGTTTTTCAATCTACGCGATTGTTAAACATTTCAATGTTGCCCGTGATAGCTTATTGAACCTTATTTTACACATAGCCCAATAGTTCTCGAACATGTTTACTTCTCATCGATTGAAGCAGTGATGTTTCGTTACTGTGGGAAATCTTCATACTTGCTCCACGAGAATATGTTATCTGCAAATTTCAAATCACTGAGGTATTTATTAGTGGTCCTAAATACTCAATATATTCAACGCAGCCTATTCAACGCTCATATTATGCGTGCAATAGAAAATCTAAGGCAACTACTTCCTCTCAGCCCGAAAAGTGACCTTATCGGTATTTTAGACTTCACTTCATAGTACTTTGACGTAAAGTAGAATCACGGAATTAAAGATTCTTCAAGAAGCAGTAGAAATTTGCACTTTACGAACCATATTGGAAGGTGGAGTTACCTTAGGCTTGAAGACTCTTCGATGCACTTGACAAGACATATAGAAAATTCTTCATACGTTTTGAACATTTGAAAAACAGACACGCGGTCATTTATGGTGAATGGAATTCGCCTTAATAACAACTTCATCATTTACATCAGATAGTCGCCAGAAGGCGCGAAAGCGTTAAATAAATGTGCATTGTAGCAGTAACGATCTCTTTGACTATGTTTACGCAATCCGGCAGAAGACAGTGGATATCTTTATCGCGAAGACTTCTGCTGTGACCTTTTTCACGCTTTGCTCCTCTTGCTGTTGCTGCTGGCTGCCGCTAACATATGCGACTTCCGTATCACGAACACCAGTCTTACGTTTATCTTCCCGTATTGCACCTATGGTATCCTAATTACCTTCCCGCTTGAATTTGTTTTGGTTATAGCCTGTTTAAAAAAAAGCATCTCAGAAAAGTTCATTAAAACATCACCGATAACATTCTGCAAACCATACCACGGCACAGGAAATGGTTTGAAAACGCCTTTAGTTAGTTACAACCTACGAATAAATCTAAGCCCCACCCGCAAACTGCCTCGCACATGAAATGAGCTGCGTTAAGAGAGTCGTATAAGCGGATGATTTTTAAAACCATGAGCACTATTTCTGTAGTAATGTAAATACCACGCATACCTAAAACTAAATGTTCGACGTTCACACCTAATGTATGAATTTTCACCAAGCATCAATACACGCGAAACTCGCACCCGTAATGCCACCGGCCGCTGAGGTCGTATTTTGATGAAAAAAAAAAAAACACTAGTGGCGCGTGTACTGTGCACGTGCAGTCAGTGCATGTTAAAGAACGCCAGACGGTAGAAATTTCCAGAGCGTTCCACTACAGCATGCCTCATAATCGTATCATATTGCTTTGTGACGCAAAAATCGTAGATATTACATTAAAGAGCAACATATCAGAATCATTGATCAAATTAGCCTGGAAGTTGAAGTTTTCGTAAACCAGAAACACGAACGTCTGGGCAGAAGCACTACCTAAGGCGTGCTGTAAGCGCCGGACGTCATAGAAATGAGTGAAAGAGATTTGATGGAACATTTATGTAAATCGTCTCCGACTAAGAGAGTGATTGCATTACGTGGAGCGTGTATCTGTTCCCAAGTTCTAGCCGCCTGTAGAAAGGACGCGACCCATCGAACCCGCTACAGTGAATTCCACTGAGTATATCGTTAGGGCAAGGAACTACTCACGTAGAAATTTTTTTTAGGACAGCAGCGAGGGCAACTTTTTCCGCCGAAAAGTTTGCGAACCACGCTTGTATCCCCAAGAGAACGTAGCGGCGGTGGTCCCTCTGGCCGGTCATCGAGTTCGCTGCAACCTGGAGGGACTTGAAGCGCTGAAGGACCGAAGCATGTTAATTACGCAGAGATTCAAGGTCATTGTTAATCTGCCGGAAATATCAGTTAGTCTAAGCCCACCTTTATGCGCCAAATGTGCACATTCTCTTAAAATGGGGCTGAATAAAGAAATGAGACCTGAATCGCTCCAGCATTCTTGTCGTGTTTCCTTCAGAAAAATTCGTATAATTTTTTACATTTTTGCATTACCAAAATTCGTAGCTTCATGGCCTCATAGTTGAGTTTAGCTAATTTTTTTGTCATGTACTCTAGATTGTCATTCTCTATATGACAAATATGCGCCAAAGCGAATCAAATAAAAGAAATAAATATTAAAGAACTGAAATGCTCATTCTGTTTGCCCAAGTCCTTGCCCACTGAAAGCGTTCATGGCTAGGTTTCGAATAATAGTGAACTTACTTATTCATAACTACACTGCTGCTTGATACATAGCATGAATTAATAAAAAGAGAACACTTCCACATTTAATTTCAACACAAAAGCACAGTGTGCAAAAACGACAATGAAAATAGACACAAGACATTGATAATATGCGTCAATATAAAAGTGTTAAAGTACACAACAAATTTGATGCATTTTGACAATGACAAAATAGTAACGCGTAACATATTACAACGATCAATACTGAGCTAGAAAAAGAGAGGGGGTAGTTTGGATATTTCATGCGCAGCAGAAAAATCACACGGTGTGCAGCGTGGTGGACCCTGTAAAGAACTGCGGGCAGTAGCTAGGAAACTGCTATCGAAATGGGAGCATAATGAGTATTTGACTAGCTGAAGCTTGAGGTCAATCTTTGATGCGGCAGTGAAAGTAACTTACGCCCAGGATGTTGAGGTTGAAGCGTGCGAGCGTGTTCAACGTGCCGTATGTGCCACTGACAAACGTGAGTCCGTGGTGTCTGACGTTATTTTTCCAAAGCTTAATAAATTGTGTCACGCCAGCGGACGTTTTCAGTTGTTCTGATGACTCATCGCCTTGCCTGTGCAGGGGTGTTGGCAAAGAGAAAAAAACACTACGTCATTGCTTGGTATTTCTGACAGCAGCTTCTCGATGTTCATCACCCAAGTCGACGCAAGCAACTTTAGAGTAAAAAGCTTGAGGTTTAAAGATATACGAATCCATTTATAAGTTTTCATTTACCATACGCCAAATTACCTTGTACATGTAGCTTTAGATTATCAGAAGACAACAAAAAGGTCACAGAAGTTAATAACAAGCTTATTGAGCCATATATGCGGTATATTTCTGAACTTGTTTCTGCCTTTGTATCTGTATTATAACTATCGTGTGACAACCTGAGTATGTGATGCAGCACTTTTGAACAAAAAAAAAAAAAAAAAAACGAAAAGAAGAACTCAACGCTTATAGACCTTTATTGAAGGTGAAGAGGATTTCCTCCTTTCTGGGCTGATGCACGGGATCATTAAAGTCGACGTCCCAGACTCAGCAGTGAATTTTTTTTTTTTTGGGGGGGGGAGGGGATCACGCATGTCAACAACAGCCCAAATAGGACTATGACTGCGCCCAGCGTGCCTTCACTTGAAAGGTCTATAATAACCAGTTCGGTAAATCCTAAAAATGGCGTGCTGAATATAAACCAGTACTGGCCAGACGCGACACGCTTAGCCCTCATTAATATTTTGAGCAAGTAAGCTGAAACACACTGTGTATCTCCAAGAAAGAACTCTGACAGTGAATATTGACGCAGACTGTGGCCTAGAAAATCCCAGGTTCAGGTTGGACTGAACTGCAGTGATGCTGAAGACAGTAGCAGCCTGCTCGAAGACTCACGTGCTGTGCACGGTGATGCCGTACTTGCGCGTCTTCGAGGCCGAGGCAGCCAGCACGAGCTGCCGTATGCAGCTGGAATTGGGCCACTCCACGAAAGTGTACCTCTCGTCCAACTGGTAGTAGACGATGTCGCAGAACTCGTCCGGCATCGGCGCCATCTCGTTCGCCATGTTCTCGGCGCACTGATACATGCACACCAGAGGCTCCGGTCCAACGCCCGCGATGCCGCTATCTGTGAGACAGCGAATTTCGATTAGAGCAATAGAACATGTTTGAAAATCTAGCTGTATTCAGGAAACCGAACAATTAGATTTATTTTCTTGGCTATAGCTAGCACTTAATGCAGGACACGTTTAACAAAGTAGCTTTGAGACGAGTGTTCGTCTACTGTGTGCTGGATTCTGAGAATTTTGTGAACCCAAATTTGAGGAATGAGCTTCCATGCGTGTTATATAGCTTATGCGCCCTTTTTAAATTAATGCTTCTTGAAACTAACGACTTGAGCCCACTTATGACGATAGTTATTGCGCGAGAACAAAACGACGACACAGAGACAAGAAGGACACGAAAGACACGAGCGCTATAACTATGTCTCTTGTCTCTGTGTCGTCGTTTTGTTCTCGCGTTATAACTATCGTCATGCCATACCAAATAGCCCAAGCTGCCACACTTCTAAGTCCCACTTATGAGCCATTTCGCGAACTATCAGTGCTATGAAATGCGTAACAATGTTGAACCCATGTCGTTTTGGAGACTTCACAATGTCGAGCGGCCAGTGCTTTCCCACTGCGCTCTACGTCTTCTGGTTCTTACCGTTTCTCGCGTTAACGTTGAAAGGACATTTTCAATGCTCAGTGGCGTCAATGGAAAGGAGCACGTGTCTATCGCTGACAGCAATCTCACCAAGTATACTGGAACGTTTTACAATGAGCTTTAATGTAAGGTTGTTATACGAAAGCTGTTATTTGTTCAGGTATTTTGATTGTGCGTATACATTATTGTCCATTCAAACGTTCTGAGAAAAACAAAATGTGCTTTGTCTGTTTTGATATCTTAGTATTCAGATATGAATTAATCTAAGATTTCCGGGTTTTGAGAATAACAAAAAAAGCCCCGTATTTCAGAAAATCAGGGACTTAATTGCGTGAAATGAACTCTGATGAACGCCGAACTACCGCCAGAAATATAAATTCTGATAAGCATCCGCTGATTTTAAACAAAAACACCGAATACATGGAACCCTATAATATTGTATCTTAGAAAGCTTACAGCGCATGTAGACGGAGATGAAGCGGCATAGAAAGGGCTGCGTCTTTTTAAAGATGATAGTCTTTCTTGGGGACCTTCGACAAAAAAAATTTTGGTCTGTCGTCTGTCTGTCTGTCTGTCTGTCTGTCTGTCTGTCTGTCTGTCTGTCTGTCTGCCTGCCTGTCTGTCTGTCTGTACATTTGTCTGTTTGTCCGCTCTAACCATACCTGAAACAGCATCAAACGGCTAACGCCATCCGCAGCGCCCACCAGTATTGCTCAAGGTTTAGCGTTCATAGTTGTGCGATTGTTATTTAAAAAGCAAATGTAATGTATATTTGAGGAGCCATAACAACCTGTCTATATTTTTTATGTCTGCCTGTAGGCTAGAAGAGGCCCACACAAGTAACTTTAAGGACTGTAGCGTTTATCGCGCTGCGCTGACTGTGCAACGCGATGCTCAAAAAGGTAAGTGTTTCCAACGCTTTGCTACGACGACACGGTGGTGGCACCTCCACGTCGCTTTCCATTTTACACCTTATCACCTCCGAGACTGGCGCGCAACTTTCACCGCGGGCGCGCATGCCTTCGTTTTCGAAGATAGCTGTCAGATGGCGCTCGTGTCTAACATGCCTCGATGCGCTCGTTCGCCTCCGCTACACGCTCGAGGCACTTTAACGCAGATTGATTGATTTGTGGGGTTTAACGTCCCAAAACCACCATATGATTATGAGAGACGCCGTAGTGGAGGGCTCCGGAAATTTCGACCACCTGGGGTTCTTTAACGTGCACCGAAATCTGAGCACACGGGCCTCGACATTTCCGCCTCCATCGGAAATGCAGCCGCCGCAGCCGGGATTTGAACCCGCGACCTGCGGGTCAGCAGCCGAGTACCTTAGCCACTAGACCACCGCGGCGGGGCGCACTTTAACGCAGCGCCTCCAGAATACCATCAACCAATTTTCTTGCGCAGAACATAAAATAAACGTTTTGTTAACTCTCTCCAGACGCAATACTATCGTCTTTGGACGAAATTTGCAGTGTAACATGCAGATTCGGGCCAATTTTTCATTTTGCACTTCGTCTCACTTTGCGTGTGCTGCAAAATTTCTAATATACCTGGTGCATTCGATGTCTCTTGTGTTTGACCCCAAGCCTTAAAAAGTGATTGCTATTGTGCAAGGTGTTCCAATATATATATATATATATATATATATATATATATATATATATATATATATATTTATATATTTCTTGACAGTCTTCCTGGATTCGGGTCGAGTTATAAGTCACCAGAAGAAGCGAACGAGCAAACGAAAACGATGCTTTATTGCCAACGTTACGGCCCTTCGTCAGGGTGCATATATATATATATATATATATATATATATATATATATATATATATCCTCCTGGCTTCCGGGTTGGATTTTGGTCCACGGAATTGCCTGAAACTTTCACAACTTGGTGTGTATATGACGAAGATAAAAAGTGAAGCTTATTATTTCCGTGATGCCTGCGCTTTTGGTATGGCGTGATGTCCAACTAATTGGACGCTGAAACTTAATTAAAGCGTTAAGTAGTGGGCCTGAAGCAACACAAAGCAAGGCTACTGAAGAAAATTGTGACAAATTCCGGAATAACTGCAAGCTATTATTCAAAATGTAACAAATAATAAAAAACCAACAGAAAAGTGGACCTTAACTTTCGCCGTTTAACTTCTAGAAGTTGCCCTGTTGAACGCCACCATGTTTTCTTCTTTGTTTCGCGATCTCCTGGCGCAATTTTGACAAAACTTCATGGAGGGCGCCAGTAGATGTCCAAAATATTGGACAAGTGGTTTTGAGGAAGAAAACATGCTGAGATCTTTGTAGTGATGGGGTATTTCATGTCCAATATTTTGGACAAATCCCCATAGCTGGAACTCAGGAGGATATATATATATATATATATATATATATATATATATATATATATATATATATATATATATATATATATTAGAAAGAAAAGTAGAAAAGTGGATGAAAAGATAACTTGCTGTGGGCAGGAACTGAACCTGCGACCTTCGAATAACGCGTGCGGTGCTCTTCAAACTCAGCTACCATGGTGGTTATCCCCCTATCCACTTTATTCAGTGTATACGTGAATTAAACGTGGGAGTGTCAGTCAGCTCCACTAGCAGCCATGGCGGCGAATGTGGAACACTCTTTATCTGCCTGTCTGGCGTCACGTAGCACGTGAACTTATTGCGAACTGGCATCTGACACACAATACCTTATATACTACCTCAAATGCACCAAGTATGCCAAGACGAGACCCTTGATAATGAATGAATGAAGGAAGTGTATATTCATGAGCTCGTTTTTTCTACCTAGAAACAATGTAATAAAACCTAACAGACAATAATGCAAGGAAAGTATAGGGGAAGGTATCAGACCTTATTGTAATGTAAATGTGCAGAAAAGCTGCTGAAAAGATAACTTGCCGCGGACAGGAAGCGAACCTGTGACCTTCAAATATCGCGTTATTTGAAGGTTCGAATGACAGGCTACTTTTTCGTGTTTAACGTGCGCAAGATATACGATAGCATGGCTTAAATAGTATGGTTGTGTAATCTAACAACCTGTTGGGCGATCAGGTTTCCTAGGAGCAAAGTAACGGTCTCGATAAGCAAGGAAAGTACTGAATGTCCTCTTTTATTGCTCCTGTTTCTTATACTAAAGTCGTAACCTCTTACGCGTGGATGAAGGATAACAAAAACAAAAATAAAACACAAAAAAGATAGAGAAAAACATAACTGCTGTGAGCCACTCTCACGTAATTCCATTACAAGATAAAGCGTTCACAGAAAATTAAGTGTGTTGTACTCGAACCTTACAAGGCAATTAGTAAAAAGAACATTGATCTTACTTACCGACTGCACGTTGGCCTTTAAGGCTAAGGATACCTTTAAGCTGGGCAACATGACCTGAAAGAAAGATATTAACGACATAAAACAACATATAAAGCATCATGCAATGTTGACTAATGTAGAGCAAAATAAAATGCGTAGCAAAAGCACAGTGAAGTCACTACCCAAATATGTGAACGATTTGTAGTGGTGGCTGACCAAACCATAGTAGTATAAATAGTAAGGGATCAGCCGCTTGACGTTTCGAAATTGCAATGTTAAGTTCGTTTGTATAAAACCAAATTATAATGAGTGCATATACATGTATAATATTAAGTGAAATTGGGTCAGTTTGGGTTTGGTAATGAGTGGTGCTACAATGTAGGCGCGATCTTAAACAGTACACTGGAGACTAGATAGTGCCCGGGACAGATAACTGTATATTAAATGCTTTTACTCGAACAAAAATATCAACGGAATATTAATAGAATCCAACCTAGAAGGGTCATGGCAAGAGGACGTACCCTTTCCTGTGTACAGTGGCACCGCAATGATCACATTCATTAGGGCAAGCACTATGAGTGCAACGATCATTTTGGTAATGATACCATCCCTGAACAACCTGCGAAGTGAAAAGAAAATAGGTACGTCTCACCGGCGTTCATATACCCTCGAAGTCTCCAGGAGCACTAAGCGCATCATCATCATCATCATCATCATCATCATCATCATCATCATCATCATCATCATCATCATCATCGACAACAACAACAACAACAACAACAACAATAATAATAATAATAATAATAATAATGACAGGTGCAGCTACTACTACGATTATAACTTACTATCACTACTAAATCTTTGATAGTGCTCCTACTACAACTACCTATTCTGTCATAGCAGTAACATCAAATTATTAATGGCCTGGAAACATCAGCGATGCCAACACTGATTGTTCCTTGTGCTATACGTTTCATAAGTGATTTTTCCGGGATGCACAGACAAAAGCGGAAAAATCGGAGACGCTTTTGCCTGCGTGCTGCGTCAGGATACAACTTCGCGTGAATGCTGTGTGCACTTTGCAGCACTTTGCCGATAGGAGTAGGCCTACTTGCGCATTGGCTTTAATTTAAACGTTTTTGCAAGCTTGGACCAAACAAGAATTCTTTAAGGGAGAACTGCTATTCGAAACGAGATGATTTTGTTTTGCTTACCAACAGCCTGAAAAAGAGAAGAAGAAAAGTCATAACTTAAGGTCAACAAATACGTAAAAAACTAGCACTCAGAACACTGCGATAGTGCATAAATAATAACTTAGTAAACTGGGATGTCTCGTTATCTAGCATACTACTTTTCTGAAGCGTGGGTGGTTCTCACGTTAAATAATGGTTATGTCCCTTTTTGAAAATGTCACATCGTTGTGCAGTTTTGCCTCAACGTCCTTTTTATAGTAACTAAAACTCTGAAGCAGGAAATCTCTCGGAGTGCTTTGTTATATTTGTAGCATTGTTTATCAGTTGCGAAAAAAAGTGCTGACTTGTTTCTGCCAAGATGTTTTCCCAGTTAATAGCAGAAAAGCGCGAACAACGGCAAAAAATCTGCGCATTTTTTGTTGATCAAGTGGCTGTCAGCAAAATTTCACATTCGAAAGACGACGAAGCTTTCGTAGAAAGGTATAACATCACATATTTCCGGTGCGAGAAATTCAGGAAATGTTATCGCTATTTTTGCGTCCTCAATGACTTACGAGGCGCCTCTGTAACAAAAATGTCCGCCATTAGAGATTCGACATGTAGACCTAACTAGAACAACTTCCCTACTTATTTCTTGAGCGTCCTTCTGAAAGTTAAGTGTGGTAATGTAATCGTACGAGGCCTGATGTTGCGGGCGTCAAGAATGACTCTGTGGTGCGCCGACCAGTCGCTGTTGATGGTGTTGGTAGTTGTGTCCGTGGCATCATAGCTCGGTTCCGAGTAACGCAGGGCAGCCTTGGGTCGACCTCGCACCACCAGGGCAGGGTAGCTGCATGACACTGCCACTTCACCGACCTGTTTCTGCAAAAGCCGAGGGGCGACAGTGATCAGCCCCACCCGTACATTTACGCATCAATGCAGTCTTTGCATATGCTGCAGTATGCATAATACGTCAGATGTGCACAATCACACATTTGTTATGATTAATGTTGGGTGGGAATATTCGAAGTCGATAACTGTAAAAGCAACAACAGCTACTGGGCATAGCTCTATAGCGAGTATAATAGTTCTCACTATGCAATTCTGAAAAATCTGGGCAGAAGCTTTTGATGGAGCAAAGTAGTTGACGTCAGAAAATTTTTGAGCGTGAGTTCGCGCTCTTACGACACACCCTAATACAATAATATTTGGGTAACTACGATATTACCTTGAGAGACGTTGTAGGGGGGAAAGGGGGCTCCGGAAATTTCGGTTCTCTGGTGTTCTTTAACGTGGACTGACATCACACAGTACCAGGCCTCTACCATCTCTCCTCTATCGGAAACTGAACGTTGTGGCTGGGAGCGAACTCGCGACCTTCTTGCCAGCAGCTGAGTATCCTAACTGCTACTACACCGCGGTACGATTTCTTACGTCTCTCTGACCCTCTATCTTCTCCTGAACGTCGGCCTTGTTCAGTGATACGTGCGTCGCTGTGATTCAGCCACCCGAGGAATCGTTAGTAAAGCATTTACCGATGGCTTGAAGGAGTACCGACGTAACTTTGAGGCACTCCAAAAGGATTATTTTTTTGTTTCCATGATTCGCATTATCACCGCTCTCCGCACACCGGAGCCAGGCAATCTGCATAAAATATTTTACCAGAAAACCACGAGGAAGCAACCCATTTAAGTTTGGGGAGTCTTGAAATATGCGGGATCAAATATGTGTAAGTGCGTGTTTCTCTCAACCCACCCATGAGTTTCTGGAAGTCAAATCCCATAAGCATCGTTAAATCGGTTCGGATGAAGTCTTTGCATGCACTTCGTACAAAAGTACTTAAGTTCGACGTTACACATACCCCGTACAACGGGCTCGCTTTGTTGGGCAGGACACCCGGTCTGGGCAACATGAGGACGGTCTCAGCCTCGCCGGACGTGGAGATGCAGGCCTCGCTCCCTACGCTGCGAAGGTCACCGACAGCAATGTACGTGGTGGGTGACTGCTGCTGCGGCGACGGCATCGGGTGTTTATGGTGGACGGGCATCTGGCCGAAGAGGGCGTTGGGTAGACTTGTACTTGAAGTGGTGGCTGCTCCATGCCCTGTGCCTCCAGTGGCGTTGGCGTAGGCGTCGGTGTCACCTTCGCACCAGTGCTCGATGGATCTTGTGCCTTGCGCGATGCGCGCGTTCTTGTGGAGGGCGTGGAGTGCAACAGCGCCGCCACATCTTTCTGTTCCCGACGATTTCCGGCCTTAGCGGTCGTGCCCTGGTCGTCCTTGCGAGAGGCGAACCTCTTTTTCGATTTCATTGTACCGTAACCTGAGGCGAAAACATGTTGATTACAAATAGACGTATCATGTCACAGGGTAAGCTACCAAACTGTAAATAGGCACCTTGTCTCAATGTCTCGGTTATTTTCTTCTTAATGAAGGGTTGTTTTTATTGATTGATTTATTGACACCTCGATATGAATGGGACTTTTTGCGCCATTAGCATCCAGATTATTAGTAAAAACAAAGATCTTAAAACTGCAAGATTACTCTGTGTAAATCGCAAGTCGCAGCTTTAACACCATCAACGTCATGAGACGCTACTAGTACACCGAATTCATTCAAAAAGTCAATGAGACTAAGGAGAAGGAGAAAAATAAAGTGAGCCAAATGTTTAGAGGTTTTCCCATACACTGTTATGATTCCACAACATCACTGAGCAATCTTCAAACTCTGAAAGCCGACTAAGCGAGCGCCCGTATTTCTTTAGTGTACTCTTACGCCTAGTTCACACTTAATACGTTTTCTACAGTGAGCAGAATTATCCTGTCGCCGAAACACAGCGTCGTTGGCACTGGACGTGCCCCGCGCCACCGAATACAGCATCTACCATTAGGCCAACGCGGGACGGATGCGCTGTCACCCGTTTTTTGTCGCGTCTCGCAAATGCCGCTACGTTACCCGGTCGTGCAGACTTTGGTGATTCTCGTAGGCAGGAACCAAGAAGACAGTACTGTTTGCATTGCTGGCAAGACGCTGTCTTGTAATGCATGAGGAGCCGAAAAAACATTCGACGCAAGCGGTGTCGGTGGTATTGTCTTGCTCTGCTTGACTGCGACGCTCACGAAATTGGGACGTGAAGTAGGCTACTACTCAGAGTGAGTTAAGCTCCCATTGGCTACTACATTTTAGCTACGTGCACATCGACAAGACAAGCGAGTCGGGCTTGGCCACCATTTTTAAAAATTACTTGAATAGCGCTCCTATTGGTTCGCCGCGACCAATTTGGCGGCAGACGCCACGAAAATCGGTTCGAGAGCAATCGACACGGTGAAGGCCCTTTCGACGGATCTCGCTGCCGCCGAATCTGATTCGGCGCCCTTTCGGTGGCCGGAATGTTCAGTGTGAACGAGCCATTACAACGATGTTCCATATTCTGTAGCATACTAAGGCTGCGGATGTGATGCAGCATTACGAAAATTTCCCCAAGCGGTTTTCCTCAGCATGCACACTCAGTGCAACGAGGAAACCGATTCCTCACGGAGTCAATGATTAGGGCAGTGATTAAGGCTGTTCAGAGAGGAAAGCATGACATACTATCAGGTGAACATCAACCTAACCAGAGTGAACGTGCTTTGAAAGAGCTGTAGGTGTTTAGGGTTAATTATGAAGACGGCCTTCATAATTATTCTTCTTGAAATGGCTCAGTGGAATGTGCAGCGAGACAGAAGTTTTCATACCTTGCGTGCGTTTCTTTCACTTCAGAAAATGTGAGACAGTCGCCCTTAGTTAGCAATGCGAGTAAGTATCAGCGGACAGGGTTCGTCGGGGTTAACCGGCAGGGAACGACAGGAAATCCTTCTTCTCGAGCTCCAGCTCGTGATCTCCAACGGATGACGATAACCATGAGGATGACGATTCTTGCTTGCTTGCTTGCGCCTTTGTTCTGGCTCTTACCCACTAAGGGGCATTGGCCAGGAAAGCTGCGGTTAATGTAAGTGATCAAGTAATGTATAATCATGGTAAAAGGTAGAGTGATTAATTTGTTTTCAACAAAATACACGATTTTTTACACGAAGAAAAATACAAAACAGAATGTTTTGAATGACTTAAAATTATTCATGATACTTGATTATTTAGTAGGTTAAAATATAGTTGCGCAATAATGAAACGGTAAATTGATCTTGGTTTGGAAGAGAGCTGATAATGACTCAGCAAGGTAATGTCCTTCTGTCACACAGGAATTCGCAGAGGGCCCCGCGGATGTTCCAGTGGTGAAATTCCAATAAAGAAGACCCAAACTACAAAACATTCGGAGTACTAAGAGGAATTTCTAATTTTTGAAAAATAAAATTGAAAACATTTTTTTAGTCTTGGTGTACAAGCGAATGAGGATTCGCTCCTCCGCCTTAGTGGGGCCCTTACAGGGTTTTGGATAGATGTCATGACCGGACTGATAATATTCTATGATATTCTTAAAGGTGTAAACAGGATTGGTTTCGAGGTGCGGATCAGTACGGGATGAGGAGGGTGCCCGGAGAGTAAGCGCGTCGTCTGCGGCATCGGCCGTCTCATTCCCGTCAATACCCGTGTGAGTTCGAGCCCATACGATTGTTCGGTGCGCGGGGGCACCATTGTAGTCGCTGTTTTGCAAAATTTTGTGGGCCCACAACGGAACGTAGCCCAGTTAAATGTTGCGGAAGGCACCCCTTGAGTCGGTGATAAGGACCCTCGTGTCCTGATCTGCGGCGGCTAGTGCGGTGGTGATCTAGTAGAGTATTGATGTGTTTAGAAGACGTTTATTCTATCGGAGAACATAACAAGTAATAGAAAACGGTGTCTATATATTAAGCACGGCAGTGAACACACATGAACACTAAAGAGAATGTACATAAAACGCTATTACAAAAATTTTCAACTCCACAGGATGTCCGTAACACTGTAGACTAACATACACAAGCACCCTTATCACACTATACATTATTTACAGGACAATGTATACACAAAATATGCATTACTTTACGAGCACAGAAATTAATATGTACATCAAATGTTATGGCGCAGAATATTTACATAATTGCACAGTGATGGCATGACAGATTTATATACTAGAACCCACTGATACAGGGACATGCCCCAACAAAAAAAGTTGATACAAGTGGCAAACACTGTCTGATGACATGGCTAAAAAAACCAGGCCAGATGAAAAACCAGCCGCATCCGTCCAACGACCACGGGCAGGAAACTGCATGAAGGCTGCTGTAGAAATTCTTGTTTTCCAAAAGAACGATTCCTCCAACAGGAAGGGCGTAAGTTCCCAGTATAACGGTTCCAAAAGCGGATACAAAACGAGGTGATGGTGACCTGCTGGTACGGCTCTATTACGTCATAAACAAAAAGCCCCCACTGCCTTTACAAGGCATGTGAAGCGACAGCAGGAGCGCCAACCAGAATTCGACAAAAATATTAACCCTTAGGCCATGAAAACTTGCGTTCACGGCTCTCCAATTGCAATGACACTTTTGCTGCAGCACAAGCTGCCTTGTGAAAGGCGGGAGGATACCCCAACACTACAGCATGTCTCGTGTCGGGAGTTCTCGCCATTCCAGGCACCACGTAAAATCGCCGAGATGACCAGGCAGATTCCATTCTAGCGCTCTACGAGACACGACTAGAACCTTCTGGCCGAGCTTATGGAACTAAAGGAATAAGCTGAGCCGCAGTTTCACCTACAACATGGTTTTATAGTATGTCTACATCAAGAAAAACCTGCTGTGCGTCGAAATAAAATGCTACAGTTGTGGAGTGAAATACAAATGTGTTAAGAGCTTGCGGCGTTGAGTTGAGTCGTGGTTTCGGTAAAAAATAGCGTATTGTAGGGCCTTTGGGGTAACAGGAAAGATGACGTGCAGGGCACTGATCACCATGTAGCAAGAGAAGCAAGAATCGTAAAGCGAGCATCCGGCAGCGAACAAGTACGGATGGGAACGAAAATCTCCTACTGTTGCGGAGTTGCACCAGCGCAGCACGGCAAGGCAGCTCAGTTACATCCAATTAGAAAACGATGGCATTTATAGTTGGTGTCCTTAGAAAAAATTGTGGTTGGAAACATAGTTCATGGTTTAAAGTACCCTACCACGGTGTAGCAGTATGCTGTATGCCGTCCCTGTATATGCAATGACCATGAGAAGGTAGGAGTGTTGTACGTGTGACGCCGGAGAACTCCGGACCAGTAATTCCAATTTATTATGACATTTTATCCCTAGATTGACCCTTGAAAATTTCCTAGATTACAAAAAAAGATTCCTAAATTATCTTTTTATTGTCGTTATTCAGAGTAACTGACTCATACCTAAATATTACGATAGTGCACTCAGTGACCAAGTTCTTACGAATCTTGTTCAAATAAACAAAACATCATACTAACCACCCTTTAAAGTCTTTTTCCCTACATGTTTTGCGGAGTTGGATATGAAGCCCAGTGCAGATGGCCCCAGTAGCCATAGAGACCAATTTGTCTATTCAAAACATAGATGTCATCCTTTTACGCCTGCTACAAGAGCGGCTTGCGCTTAACTGACACTTGCCGGACGTACGTACAACGTGATTTTTTTGTTTAAATATGAAACGATTCAATATTACAGACATACTGTTAGGAATATACATAGGTTTAAACTATGTTCATGTATCACGCTGCTTCGTCCGGGGTTGTTTTTTCTTCGTTGCCACACAGATGGGTACACCTGGCGCTGGTCTTGGGGACGTATATGATGTGCAAGCCGGAGCATTAATCACCAAAAATAAAACTTTCGGTAACTCAGCCAGGCACCTTTGCTAACAAATTTGATTTGTCGCTTTGGGGACCATAAGCTTCCACTCATGTTTCCGACATCACATGGTAAATAAACGCTTACTTTCAAATTATTATATTCGTAGACCAACCTTAAACTACCGAAGAAGCACGCTGAATGTCGCCCTTGCAAAAAACAAAACGTCCCAGGACGTCCTCACATAGAGAGAAGTCATTAATACAAAATTATTTCTTGCACAAACAATAGACGTCTCAGGAATCCGTTAGAGTGCGATCAACTGAAGTCATGTTTAATGCGATGACGAAAACTTTTACAGCAATGCTTCAGACAAGTAGCTTCAACCGCAGGTTCGCAGGCATTCCTCTCTAGAGGAGAATCGATTTTCGTTCCCTTGACACCCTCCATAGATAAAGTCTTGGCAGGTTCCACTGGAACTGTCGTAGTAGTACGACGGGAAGTAGGCGTAGCACAGGCCCCTACTACGTGGAAGGTAGCATAGGCTTGGCTTGCCATGCGCACTGGCGTCTGTAAAAGAAAGCGTAGAGGAATAGAGAGAGATGTTTGGATCACTAGATATACTGTTCACGTTTTATAGAGTGACGGGAAGGGGGGGTTATTGAGCAGAACTGGCAAGTGCACTAATTTTGACTCATCAAGAAAAGCTGCTAATACAGCGCGACTGAATGTTGGCGAACTATTTTAGACTGTTACGATAAGATCTTGCGCACGACACAAGCAGTCGAGTTCATTATAGAGCTAACGCGAGCACCGGTGATAACGCTGCAATTTTCGATCAATCGTCCACGAAAGACAACGCGTTCCGCCGACGATGAGATTAACGACAGGCGACGACTGCAATTGCCACTATTAGTGCACAACGTGCATTCCATGTGCTTAGTAGTTACGTAGTTTTCGGGGCACACGTCAGCTCAATGGCGAGTTTTGCTTCTATTATTGATTGATATGTGGGGTTTAACGTCCCAAAACCACTATATGATTATGAGAGACGCCGTAGTGGAGGGCTCCGGAAATTTAGAGCACCTGGGGTTCTTTAACGTGCACCCAAATCTGAGCACACGGTTGCTTCTATTATTGTGACGGCCGTATTATTCACCGGCACTACCACGTGACAGTTTAGCCGAAATGCGAGCATGTATAATAGAAACAAATATTTTCACAAGGGCATGTTTTCGACTGGAGATGACTTCCTTTCACAAGAGTCGTCTCAACAACAGCCATCTGATTGAAAACTTTTGTAGCAGCTCTTGATGTACATTGTATTACCAATAATAGTTACTGTGATTGTCTGCATTCGTGTAAGCAACTGTCCGACAAGGCAACTGGCTAGTAAAAGCCCAGTATTTTTGTGGACCGCTAGTGCTGATAAACCGAAGTGTCGGCGTACCACGACACATCTCTTCATACAAACCCATTACGCTTCACCTCCCGCAGCAAGAAGTAGCCGCACAACGATGCGTTATGACTTCATGAGTTTTCTTGCATAATTATCTACCCTTAAACATAAACAAAACATAAACTGCAATAAATCGTGCAAGCGTCATCCCTCTTGTCAGCACCTTTAGAAATTACTGAAACATTCCATCGTCTTTTAAGATGTCGCTGATACACGACATTAAATTCAGATTTATACTCGAATTAAGCGTATTCTATTTACCTTGGCACGTACTCATTACTTAACAGCCAAGGATATTGACGACACTGTTTTACGGATAGTCCATTTAACGACAAATGCTACATTGGACGCTTGCGTAGCATTGAAAAAGTGGCATGTGTAACGTCGAGGGAACTCAAGACACGCAAGCGTGCTAGGGCTGGGTGTAATTAGTTACCACTTGGCAGATAACTTTAAGCTAGAATGGGGAAGTGAAAAAAAAGTAAAAAAAAGTAAGTGTGAACACAGCGAATGTTCATAAAAGAGAAAAAAGCTCGAAATCTATAGCGAATATAGTAACATAAAAATAGCTTAAAGTTTAAAGGTAATGTAAGAGGACCACGTACTTAGATGTGATGATATGACAATATGTAGGGTTTAACGTCCCAAAACCACCATATGATTATGAGAGACGCCGTAGTGAAGGGCTTCAGAAATTTCGACCACCTGGTGTTCTTTAACGTGCACCCAAATATGAGCACACGGGCCTACAGCATTTTCGCCTTTATCGATAATGCAGCCGCGGCAGTCGGGATTCGATCCCGCGACCTGCGGGTCAGCATGCTACCTTATCCACTAGACCACTGCGGCGGGGCGTGCTAGGATGTAGGTTCACGTTAAAGAGCGCCGGGTGGTGGAAATTTCAGGAGCTAAGCCCTACAGCATCTCTAGTGTAGTCATGTCGTAGTTTTGGGACTTAAATCACCAAGAATTATTATAATAGGTCAAGTGCAAAATAAATGAGACAATGTGGGAGGCAAAGGTTAACGACAAATAACTGATACCCTTCGCGCGCTATAATATAGTTAATGTAGAAGCTGAACGTACTCTGGAGGGAGATGGCCAGCAAGAGCAAGACCGCCAAAGCGGACATTCGATGCATAGTTGACACGTGCGATGCGGCTTGGTCGTCCTTGAAGAAATTCGCTCGAGACAGGGCGACGCTGTTTAAATACATTTCGTGACCTCCATCCTGGCGAGCAATGTGACACGGGTTTCCGGTTTTCTTGAGACATCCGCGCACGCGCTCCCAAGGGCACGCAGGAAACGCGTGCCGTATTCTGTCGGCTTTGAGTGTGTGCGGAGTTACGAACAGAGGCATACATTTCTCCACAAAGAAAAGGCATTGCGCAAGTAAGCTCTTCCAGTGCAAGTATATGTAAAAGTATATATGTATATGCAGTATATGCAGTACCCCTTAACGTAGCCATGTAAAATAGCACCGTTATGTTGGGCGCCTACGTGTCGCCACAATATTCGAATGTATATCGGTGTGGGGTCGTTTACAGGCATGGCTTTTTTCAGTGTGGCTGTAATAGAAGATCATACAAAGCTTTAGTGAAAGTACGACAGATGAATTACCGAGGAGACATTTTACGCTACAAACGAACATAGATAATCAATGCATCATAATTGCTTTGCGGCCATTATTGTCGAAGTACTGACTGATAAACTCGGTATGTAACACATATGAGATTGAAGTACGTTTTAGGACTGCCTGTGACTCCTTGATTAACGAAACGATTACTCGGTCACTGCCATTAAATTCAATAATATAAGCCATTTGTTAACAATTTCATGCTATGCATGCGTACATTCGTCCCCTGCAGAAGACGAATGAAAAAACAATTATCTCGGGTTAACGCTTTTTGCCATTGGCTGAAGAATTTCTCGAATGCTATGTGCAGTGTCCGAACCAGCTGAAATATTTTCTTACGAATATTTTTAGCGTAAAACACTTTCGCTAATAGAAACCAAGGCAAACAACAGGCTCACTTGGCGACCGTGGTAGGTGGTGGCTTAAAATAAACTGTTGGTAACGTACAATGATCTAAGCCTTGCACAATGAAAGTCTTTACACCTATGTCCGGAAACAAACATTCGATGAAAACAGCGAAAAAAAATGCTGGGCAGGGGGAATACTTCAACACTTACGCAGGTTATATCTAAATTAGGGAATTTAGAGTAATTTGGCTGTCAGTTGGAATCAAGAAGAAATGTGAGTAGGCAGAGCGTGCGTGAGAGGTCATGGTAAGAGCAGGCCACCTTGAGTAATAGACTGTAGTCCAAGTGATGATGAGGGCGTGAAGGGGATGCGGAAAGTTGGTTGGGCAGATTAGATTAAGAATTTTGCAGGGACGAAGTGGCCACAGCAAGGAATAAGCCGGGTCGACTGCCAAAACAAGGGGGATGCCTTTGCCCTGTTGTGGACGTAGTCGGAATTGTGATGATGATGGCGATGATGATGATGAGTAGGAGGAGGATGATATACGTTGGTTATTGTGGTCACCCTTTGCAGTCGAATGAAACTGCAAGCGCGTAGTTACATATGGTCGTCTTGGCAAGGTTCATTTTCAGATCGTAGTAGAGCTAAGGTAAGGAAACGGTGCACTGAAGCGCATCTATGACGTACAAGTTGGTACAACTTACGCTTCAGCTTTTAGTGAACACGTGATTTCAAGGCAAATACCATTTTTCTTGTTGCTGTTTGGCCCACCTCACGCATCTCTCATTTGCGCAATAATTCTTGTTTTTATTTATTATTTCTTTTTTTTGTTTATCAGCGCCTGTCGTTATGCTTAGTGGGAATGAGACCCGTACATGTCTGACATCGAGGGGAAAACTCGAGTTTCTCATTTCATGATAACTTTATCTTCTTTTTTATGTTTTTTAGATTTGATGCATGTTTGTGCAATGACTGCTAAGAAAAATTCCTGGCGCGAGAATTGCTCAACACCATTTGGTATCAGCTCCTGAGGTTGTATGAATATATATATATATATATAATATATATATATATATATATATATATATATATATATATATATATATATATATATATATATATATACAACACAATATATAGACACAACTTAGCGGTTGTCTTAGTTGTATTTGCAACGATTTCAATCGGTGGACCGGTCTTTGTCAGGATTTCTGAATAAGTGCGACGCTATGCGAACATGCCATGTCGATGTGGCATGTTCGCATAGCGTCGCACTTATTCAGAAACCCTGACAAAGACCGGTCCACCGGTTGAAATCGTTGGAAATAAAACTTAGACAACCGCTAAGTTGTGTCTCTTTTCTTCTCAAATACGTTTGGCTCATCGGAAAAACTTGCAGAATAATTGAGATTGAGAAATCACGTCACGGCATCTTAGTTTATGTATAACAACAGATTTGCGTTGCTTGCTAGAGTCCTAATATTCCTTCTGTTTGACGCAGCCTACAGCTTTGAGGTCAAGTTTAGAACACTTTTTTTTGTTAGCTGGCTACGTGTAGCGCTGAATTACACGCCCAGGATTGCGCACACCAACTAAATTTGATGGGAAATCGACCGCCTCTATACGGCTCAACAGGTACAGTATCGTACGAAGGCTGCAGCTACAGTTCGTACGAGGGCACGCTTATATTTTTTTCCATTTCTATTTTTCAGAAAGTTTGCATTCACAGCGTTAAGTAAGTCGTCGGACTCAAATAAATGACCTCTGTGTATGCGTAGGTCAAGAGTATCTATAAGGAAGAAGAGCTATATATGGACAGCTGTGGACAAAACACACACTATTTTCTCAAGCTGTAAGCAATTGCGTCGAAAGGAATATTATCGTGAAAATGAGACATAGTCGGTAGTGAACTATGCTAGGGGATAAAGAAGATATAGCAAAGGTTCGTAGCAAGCCAGAATCACAAACTTAGTTCAGGCAAATACTTGTAGTGATACATTTCGACCATCTGATGTCCTTTAACATGTACTCACATTGCTGAGTACACGAACCTGTATCGTTTCGCTGCCATCGAAATGAAACCGTCGTGACCATGATCGAAACCGTGACCTTTGGGTCATCAGCTAATCGCACACCACTACGGCGTACTCTGCTTCTTTAGTAATATAATTATTCATAGTTGTTTTTGTAGGGCAGTTATCACGACTTTAAGCGTCTCGCCATGAACCTTCGCTGTCATTTTGTTCTCAAAAGGTCGGTTTTGTGGGTAATGAGCTTATAAAAACCCCAAATGAGAGAGCCAAATAAGAGGGAGCGATGCCATTTTTGATAATGTTTTTTATTTATTTTATTTATTTATTTATTGATACTGCGATCTTTTACAAGATCATAGCAGGGGTGGTACAAAACAAACATAAAGATCAGTGGAAACAGGCAAAATGTTTTTATTACCTTAAAATGAAACTTGAAAGAGAAAGTCGCCCGTGCTTATGCCACTTCTCTCGGTGCAGCTCACGGAGGCAAGTTATTCCGAGAATAAAGGGCTTCTTTATGCATTGAAGAAGAACGGCTATTTGGGCTAGTTGGTTAAATTTCATGGTAATAAGGGTGGCAGCGCAAGCACGAAGGTGCTAGAAGAAACGTGAAATGAAAGGCGAGGCAAGGAAAGCAAGGAGGACAACACGAGCGCTGTTTATGGCACGAATGATTTATTAAGCGCTTTAGCAGACTTTTTTTTTTGTTAACGCAAATAAGAGTGTGGGTGTATAGCGTAGGTGGCGTGTCGCAGTACAGACTGACAAATTGTCCTTGCTCACAGGAAAGCAATAAAAGGAAAGTTAAGCGCGCGCTTTCGAGCGTCACATCATTGTTGCGGCCGACCATATGTGCCATAAAGTTAAAGCCACGCAAATTCACTTTTCGTGGAGCGCGCTGTGAGGTGCTTTTATTTATAATAGCATTCATTCATTAGGTTCTGAGAAATTGCTGCCGACAGCTCTCACCTCGCAGGTTTGTAAAACCTGTCTAGAAATTTAAGACCTTGTTTTCTTAATTTTTATTTTCACCCGAAACGTGTTTACTCGTGCACACGAGGAGGAACATATACGAAGAATTCGCAACAGGTGTCGCTGATTAATGCCTGTGAAAATGTGCAACTCGAGCGTAGCTTGCTTCGTGTGATCCTATACGACAGTAAAAAGAAGTTGCGACAACAGTTCTTCCTTCTTGCAACAGGCGTGTTGTAAGAAGCGCCTCTACAGTTTTGTTGGCGTTTAAGAAACACACAAACAAAATGAAAGAAAAACAACCAAAAAACAAGCACACACATTCAAGTAATATATGTCTTATTGATTTCTTCGCGTTTTAAAGGCGGGTATAGACAACGTTACTATTGATATACCGGTGCCGCCGTATCGGGCTTTTTACGCAGATGATTTGTCCGTTTTTTCTGTCCCACCAAAATTAGCAGAATCACGAAACGCCAAAGGCATCTAGCTTAGTCATTTTCATGCGAATGAGCCTTTTGTAGTAGCGTTTATTTAGTTTGGCAATGAAAGCCCTCTTGTGTTTTTTGAGGATGACGCCTCTGACTTGCGGTGGAGTTCTATACGCTGCAGTGGATGTACTGACTTTCTCCCCTTTTAACACATAGCGCTAGAGAGCGCGTGTCGCAGAAATTCCGCCATCCCCGTCGGCACCGTTGGTTGTGAGTGAAAAATCGTCCGTGAGCGAAAAATTGAGAAAGAAGCAAATAAATTAATGAACAAAATTTTCTGTTTCATCAAGGGTCTAACCCAGGCCGTTCGCGTGGCAAGCAGGTGTCCTACCACAATGCCACGATGTTTTCCGTTTATTTCAGGTTAAACTTTATACAAGGCGTGCCAAGAGAAATATATTACTATACACAATGAACATAAAAAATAACACGGCCGTCAAGCATGACTATAACCCATCACATCCTAGAATTCCTTCATGTAGGGCCTCTATCCTTTCTAACCATAAAGAAACCCATTCATATGTTCTTACTACCTCGAGAAACCTCGAGATACTATCTTTAAAATACTCTCTTGCTGGCCTCCTGTCGGGGTGACAGTAATATCCAGCCATTCTAGAACGCCATATACTGTACAAGGCAGTCATCAGGATGAAATTTGAAGGTAATTCATCATCATTCTCTATTGCTAAATACCTGATTGTATGAGGGTCTAACGGAAACTTTTTAAATTGTCCTTTGTAGTACGTCCCAA